CCATGAGGCAGGGGTGACTGCATGGCAGCTGGCTTATCAGGTTAAACACTCTGAGGTTAAGCAAAGTGTACCAATCCAGGTTGACGTTTCCTTGGGAGGCAACCTGGCCTGGAGTAGTACATGCACCCAGCTAGGCATCAGGGTCCCATTGGACATCTCTACCCTACAAACGTGGGAAGCATGAGACCGGGCTCCAGGGCTGGTGAGATCTGCCCTAAGTCCTTAGTTGCTTCTCTTTGGCTCCTACTAGTTGTTTGGGAAGAAGTTGTGTGGCTCAGTAGTGAAGCACTTGGCTGCTGCCCCAAAGATTTGAACCCACCAGTGGCTCCTTGGAAGAAAAGAGTTAGCCATCCATTCCCTAGAAAGCCCTGCTCCATCCTAGAGGATCTCTGTGGGTGGGAGTGGACTCAACGGTGCTCTATAACAGCAGTTGTTTCATAGCCAATCAGTGGGGGGCAGGGTGGCAAATCTTTGTTATAAACAAATCTTGGTATTATCTTCATCTCAAGCACTCTTCAGATGGTGTACCTACTCATCGGTAAATGGTGGTAGCATTCACTAGTCGTGGCAAGGACGGAGCTTCCCAACCCTGCTGTTGCTGCTGTTCATTGTGAGTTACAGCCATCTCAATGGCACGCACAGCAGGGACTGGTCTTTCCTGAGAACATGTCCAAGTTGCATGAGACGAAACTTCACCACTAGAGCATTCTGGCCACACTTCTTCTAAGACACATTAATTTGTTCTTTTGACAGCCGTGGTAATGTGTATATTCTTCACCAGCACCATCATTCACATGCCTCGATTCTTCTCCAATCTTTGTCCCAAACCCAGAGGTGCACACAGACCTTTTGTTGCTCACAGTAGTTGGCTTTGGGTGGGATGATGCCACTTGTATCCTTCCTGAACCCACAAGTCTTTGCAATGTTCATTTTTCCATTGGGTGGTGTGTGTGTGTGTGTGTGTGTGTGTGTGCGCACGCGCACACACACTCATGCCAGGCAGAAGTTATGGGAAAAATGGTTCCAAGACTGACCCTCTAGAACTTGTGTTAAAAATGTGCTCTTTATATATGCCTTATAAGCCTGTATTTAATAGAGCCATTACCATTTGCCTAATAAAATAGACTGAAATAAATTCTTTACTAATTGCTTTGTAAGAATATGGGCTTACCTACATTCATCTTAACCATCACTGCCTTTATATGACACTTATAATTTTTATTTACAGTTATTCTGTAGATATGGGTTTAATCTGTACAGAAAACAAAATTCCATAAGCAGACATGGTGTAGAGTCATGCAACCACAGGAAATGAAAAAGAAAACCAGGTTCATGTTTTCCAGTTCATAATTGTTTTCTACGTAGATCAGATAACCAAGCCGATCAAACCAACTGCCATTGCGTCAATTCTGACTCACAGCAACCCACTAGGACAGCGTAGAACTGCCCCATAGGGTTTACAAAGCAGTAAGCATTACAGAAAAGGAGCCCTCATGGAATAGTGGTTACGCATTGGGCTTCCATCCACAAGCTCGGCAGTTCGAAAACCACAGCCACTCCATGGGAGAGAGATGGGGCTTTCTACTCTCATCAAGAGTTCTAGTCTCAGCAACCCACAGGAGGGTCGCTGTGAGTCTGCATCAACTTGAGGGCAGTGAGTTTGTTTGTTATTGTTTGGGGGAAGGAATCATTACAGAAGCAGACTTCCTTCTCTCGCTTCCATTCCACCAAACAGCTGGTAAGTTTGAACCACCGAGCTGAACCACTGCCTCACCAAGGGTCAGCTGAAAAAAGCAAACACTCATTGTCATCAAGTTACTTCCAACTAACTGACCCCAGAGCACATGGTTGAACTGACCCTTTGCATTTCACGAATGCCATTGAATTGATTGGGATACCTTATTGTTGTTGCTAGGTGCCATCGAATTTGGTTCTGACTCATAGCTACTCTATGACAAGAGAACAAAGCGGTATACTGCCTGTGCCAAGCTCACCGTCATTCCTGGGTCTGAGCCCATTAATACAGCCACTGAGTCAACCCACCTCCTTGACGGCCTTCCTTTCCTTCGCTGACCCTCTGCTTTACCATGCATGACGTCCTTCTCCAGGGCCTGGTCTCTCCTTTTCACTTGTCCAAAGTAGGTGAGAGTAAGACTGTCTTGCCATCCTGGCCTCTAAGAAGCACTCTGGCCATCCTTCTTCTGAGACAGATTTGTTGATTCATGTGGCAGTCCATGTACTTTCAATATTCTTCCCCAGCACCATAATTCAAATGCACCAGGAATAGCTAATGTCAGCAAACACTTAAATATGGTTTGTCAGCAATTCATTACTAGTCCCTGTGCCCTTTTAAGGAAGCCTATGTATCCCCCGAAGATTTGATATTTACTGGTTCAATATGAGGTGCAAATGAAATTGAATGCTTTATCTTTACGATAAAAACCAAGCTAATTCAAAAGGCAGACTATCTCGTAGGGTGGCCATTTGTCAGAAAGGATGCAGGTTGTAGCACCAGCCCCAGCTTGCTTGATAGCCTACCATTTGTGATAAAGGAAAGAAAGAACGTATCCAGTTCTCGGTCCCTCTTAGGAGGGTCGCACGGAAGGGATGATAAATCCAGGGTGCGGTATGGCACTGAGGAACCACATTATTATCTGTTAGCTCTTTAATATTTCCTCACTTTACTATTATGGTTTTTATTTGCTTTACTTCATTAATCATGTTAGATTTGTGTATGTTCATTTGTATATTTAAGATCATTCTGTACATGAAAACCAAGATATGAACCCCTGAGAAACAGTAATAGGCGTAATGGTTCCCTGAGGGTACAGGAAGAGAGGGGTGGGGAAGGGAGGGTATGGGAGCTGATTGCATTGATATAACCTACTCAATGGGATCAACAAAAGAATTGCATATGAATGAATATATTGGATTGTGTAAGAAATGGCCAAAACCCTCTTATTATAGGGGAGAAAAATAATAATAAGGGTTCCTGGGGGGTAGGGTTGGGAGGGAGGGGATAAAGGGGAGTTGTTATCAAGAAGTTCAAGAAGAAAGAAAGTGTTTTGAAACTGACTGTGGCCGCAACTGTACAATACTGCTTGATGTGATTGAACTATGGAATGTTGTGATATCTGTAAGAGCCCCCAATAAAATGATTAAAAATTAAAAAAACAAAAGGAGAACTTGTCCTATTCTAAGAAAAGCTTTGAACCTGGGTCTGTGGTCCATACTGGTCTGCACTTCCTAGGGGAACCCCTGGTGGCACGTTGGGCTGTGATCTGCAGGGTTCGCAGTTCAAAACCACCAGTAGCTCATGGGAGGAAGACTGAGCTTTCTGTGCCCTTGAACACTTAGTCTCAGGAACCAGCGGGGTCTCCCTGAGTCAGCACTGACTAGATGGCAGTGAGTTTTGGGTTTGTTTTTTTTGGGCTCTTCCGAGCTGCAGCCTGGACCTGGCATCAGTGGCCTGCCTTCTTCACAGTAGTTTCTCCAGAAGCAGGGATGGTTTGCTGTAAACGCTTCTCACTTCACTGCCAACCCCTCATTCAGATAAATGATGGCCCTGTGTGGCTCGTGGGGTTAAGTAGTTATCTGTGGATTCAGAGTTTGCCTTTTGTATTTCTCTGTTTAAAAAAAAATTACCCCTTGGTACAAGAAAGGACTTCATCCAGTTGACCCCGCCCTCACCATTTTCTCACAAATTGAGCAGATGGATTTCATAAAGGTACACTCGGTTGTATGACAACACAATCAAGCGGGTCTCTTCAAAGGGCCCTCACTACCCTGTAGCATATTGTGGAAGGAGTCAGAGACAACCAACCTCCTGGGGAGCTCCGTGCTAAAGAGGAAGTCCTGGGAAAGGCTGTGCAATGCATACGATGTATGATTGACATTGTCGGACTGACGCTCGCTCTGTAAATAAGTGTTTCTCTTTGATAAAGCTTTCACGTTATATCTATATCCTCTGAGAATCACTCAGGGAGCCTGTTGACTTTTACAGAGGTGACTGTGAGAATGACAACAGCAATAATAAGTATAGTAATAATGATGGCAGCAAGCCATCAGGGCACTCTTAGTGGACTTGTCCAGTTATATTTCTTCTTCTCTGGTAATTTAGTTTTTGGCCGCGCCTGAATCTGACACCCCAAATAATACGCAGGCAAACCACAAGGTGGTCAGACCGTGGCAGGACAGCGGGTCACACAAATATTTTGCTTTCTACTTGCATCATGCATTGGCTTGGTAACCCCAAGTTCAGCAGTTTGAACCCACCAGCCCCTCTGCAGGAGAAAGAAGAGACTTTCTGCTACTGTAATGATTTATAGCCACAGAAAGACATGGGCCCTTTCCTGTAAGGTGCTTGTGAGTCCGAATTGACTGGATGGCAATGAATTTGGTTTGGTTTGGTGTCCATGTAAGTTACATGATGCTGTGCTGAAGTCTAGTAAGTGTGCAATAGCATGATGAAAAGTTTGAAACACACACACCTATATACCCATACATATCTTTCCATTGGGGAAGAAATTGACTTTCTATAGCATATTTCACACCAGGGTAATAATACACACATATACACACATACATCCATGTGCCATTTTAAAATTTACATTTTCATAATAAGATGCATCTAACTTTTATTGGAGCATGGAAGATTATTTACTTACATACCCATATATGGTCTCTATATAATGTAGACATGTGTACCTATGGAGAAACTTTTGAATCATCTGTTCAAAACGTTTTAAAATCCCCTGGTGGCATGGTGGGTTAAGAAACACAAGGCTTTCTACCCCTGGAAGAGGTACAGTCTCTGAAACTCTCAGGGGCAATTAAACACCAAAAAACCCTGTTCTGTGGGGTTTCTGTGAATCAGCATCGATTTGACGGCAGAAGTCTTGCGTTTCCAGGTGAACTCGCAGGTGATTTGGGGGTTGCTGCGCTGCACCAGCGGGTGGTGGGATTTCTGTCTCACGTTCTCCCTGCTTCCTTCTGTTCAGAGAGTTTGGGTGGAGAGACCCGGAGCTGCCTGAAGTGATCCAGATGTTGCAACATCAGTTTCCCTCGGTGCAGTCCAATGCCGCCGCCTACTTACAGCACCTCTGCTTCGGAGACAACAAGATTAAAGCTGAGGTGAGTCAGCTCGGCCTGGATTCCCCAGAGTCGGATGACACCCCGGTTCAGTTACAAGAAGCCCCATGGGGGAGAGGGGGCGTGGGGATATATTCTCTCATGGTTTAGGGGCTGGAAGTCCAAGTTGAGAGCGTGGGCTTTGGGGCAAAGCTTTCTCTGTGTGTCAATTCTGTGGACCATGCTAGTCACCCCTGCCTCTAGTCCTTGGCTCCTTAGCAGCCTCCATGTGGCATGGCGTCTGTCTCTCCTCACCCATCCTCGCTTGTACTTCCTTAATCTCTCCTCTGACTGGACATTTCCTAGATCGAATCAGAAGTCTCTAGATTTAGCTCTCACAACTACGTATATTGATGTACAAGTGTCATCTTGTTTTTTTAATGATTATTCAAAAACAGGCTATCCCCTTTCAATGGAACATGTTATTGATTGATTCCGATAGCTCATGTAAAAACACTCGTATCGTAGAATTATGTGTTTTGTCCAAGTATAATCCCGATCATTAAGAAGTGAAATTAAGCTTTATTCCCATTGATGACTGTAAAATGCAGGTGATTTTCTGAACTTAAAAGTGTACGTTGTGTTTTGTTTTGAAATAATATATGTAGAGGATAGATTGCAAGACTGATAAGAGATATAATAAAAAGTAAAGCTTAGAGGCACAAAGAGATTGATGCTAATAATGACTCATTAATATAAATATGAAAGT